GGGCCCGCTCCCGCCGGCAGCGGAGGTCCCAGACAGCCCCAGGGGCAGCAGCGCGCCCCCCAGCGCGCGCAAACCCAGCCGTCACCAGGGACCCCGGGAGGGCGCCGCTGATGCTGCGCCGGTCGCGTCTGGGGCGTTTCACGAGTCCCCCGGCCTGGCGTCGGCGGCCGCTGCAGCCGGCGGGCCGGCCGCGAGCGGCGCGCCCGGGCTGGGAGCCGGCCCGCCGACGAGCACGGCTGCGGCCGGGGCTGCCGGGCCCGTACGTGCGTCTCAGGCGGGCGCCTCGTCACCCGCAGGGCGGCCGCTGTCGGCCTCCCAGCCGCAGCCCTCGCAACGCGATGCAGATGCGAGCACTATCTTCAGCGGCAGCAGGAGTGCCAGGAGCGGCGGTGCACTGCGCAGCAGCGGCAGCCGCGGCCAGGAGGACCCGGCGAGGCGACGGAGCGGTCCCGCTGACGGGCGCCGGCGCGGGCGCGAGCGCAGCCGGCGGCGCAGCATAAGCAGCAGCAGAAGCAGGAGCAGGAGCGGGAGGGAGAGCAGGAGCAGGAGCAGGAGCCTTAGCATTAGCAGGCATCGCGACAGGAGCCGCAGCAGGGGCAGGGGCGGGCGTTCAGAGCGCCGTGGCCGCCCGGGCCGCAGCCGCAGCCAGACTCCGGGCCACATCCCAGGCTTTGGCCGCCATTGGGCCGGCCAGCAGCCCGTGACGCACACCAGCAGCGGGCGCCGGCGTCCCCACAGCGGCAAAAGCAGGAGCAGCAGCAGGGGGCGCCGCTGGAGCCACCGGGGTCAGGACACAAGCCGCAGCCGCAGCCGCAGCCGCAGCTGTGCGCGGCCCGCTGGCAGCAGCGGTGGTAGGCACGCGCGAGTCGCGCGCCGCACTGGCCGCCGCTGCAGCCTCAGCCGTAGCCGCAGCTGTGGCCGCAGCCGCAGCCGCAGTCCGGCTCGGCGCGCCTCGCACGGCGACAGCCGCCGTGGCGGCGGCAGCCGGTGGTTTGACGGCCAGGCTGCAGCCAAGGCGCCGGCTGCCAGCGCGTCAAGCTATGGGGCAGGACCGGGGCCGGGCGCAGCTGCAGGGAGCAGCTCGCAACAGCACGGTGTCGTCGCAGGGGCCGGCGCAGTCAATGCCGCGGTCGTGCCAGCAACCCCTGCCGCCCAAGTCGCGCTGGTGGTGCCGAGGCCGCTGCCGGCGCCGCATTTTGCCGGTGCTTCGAAGCCGGGCGAGCTAGCGGCCTCCCTCAACCCCGCAGCGGGCGCGCCACGGCCTGGCAATTCTGGCCCGTCAGCGGCGCCAGCGGCTCTTGGCGAGAGCGACCTGTCGCATTCTGCCAAGCCGCGCAGCCCCTGTTCAGGGCCATCGCCTGCGCCGCCCTCAGCGCCGGCGGTCGGTGGTGCAGGGGCAGCCTTGGGCCGCGACGCCGCAGCACCGGGCCTATTTGCCCCTGCGGCCCCTTCTCCCACGCCCTCCGGCCCGCCAGCGCCCCTTGTGGCGCTGGCGCCAGGGGCGGCGCCCGTCCTCGCCGAGGGCGGGGCCAAGGGCCAGTGGTGCAACGGGGTTTTCGTGCCTGAGGTCACTGGGAACTGGGAGGACGTGTGTGACTTTGATTTCGACGGAGAGGACGACGATCCTGGCGCTGGCCAGAACGAGGGCGCCTTCGCCGCGCCGCTCGTCCCGCACCTGCCGCCCTTGCTGCCTGCGGAGCGGGTGCAGCCTGCGGCGGGGCCGGCGCAGGGGCCGCGGGGGCCCTCGGGTGGCGGCGGCGCGTGCTTTGACTGGCGCAAGATGCCATCAAGCGGCGGCGCCAGAGCCGCACCTGCCGCGCCCGGTGGTGGCTGAGGAACCGCGCTGTCTGTTCACCTGCAGGCGCAGGCGGCCTGGCGCACATGTCCCCTTGTGTCCCCCAGCGGAGGCTGCCCTGTGACTGTCTGGGCGCTGTGCTGAGGCGCATCCTGCCCCAACTGCGTGCTTAGGTGCACCCTCACTCATCAAGTGCGTCCTCAGGGTTTTTGAGCAAGCACCAGAAGCCAAAGGTCATGTTTAATGCAGGCAACGGTGTGTTTGCTTCTCGGCCTCCAGACTCGTTTCTTGGCTGTGCAGCAAGCTCCTTTCTGTGACGGTTTTCACCGCTTTCCTTAACAATTTCCTATTTCGCTGTTGACACGGCGTAGCTAGCCATGTCCCCTTGCATATCCCGTGCAACACTGACCAAGCCATGTGTATCAATAGCCATGTGTATCAATACAGCAGTATACACCCTCACAAACGTGTAAACACTGACCAGTCCGTCCTTGGCCAGCAAGGTCTATGCCTGAAGTTGGGAGCGTTAGTCGGCGTTTTGTCCTACGCCTTTGGGGCCCTGGTGTGCGCCGCATGTGTGCATGCATACGTCACGCAAATTCCCCTGTCACAGCTGCTCGAGAGCCATTCGTGGGGCCCGTTGACTGCGGGTGAGACGAGCTGAGGCGAGCAAGAGACACACACGGCTAATCAGCAGGACGAAACCGTGTCGCACAGCCGCCTTTCGATGACGGCCGCGCCGCTGGTGCCAGACCCTGGAGGTTTGATACCTGAACAACCATCTCTATCTGCTTTGACGTTCATATTCCTCATGCGTGCCATGGATCGGCCACTGCGTCGTGGCAGCTGCTCAAGATCGAGCACGAAGGAAACGCCAAAATGCACGCCTCTTTCCGTTTCGTCGATTCGTTTGGGACTGATCCCGTGACGAAAAACATACATTCAACTACGACAACACGTAGACTGCCAACTCAAAAAGTCTTGTCGCCCGCCATTCGTGCTACGCTCTCGACGGGGACGGCACACATAAGGTGAGCATCTATGAGTTGTTCTACATATACACGCGAAGCGCTTCGCGGGTTTCAACGGGCCTCCAGCCCCAGGCACCCAACGACAGCGTGCGACCTCCTCAGCGGCCATGGCCCCTTGCCCGATCATTATTTATCAGTGGGGAGGCTTCCTGACTGCAGCTGACATGGCTGGTGTACCTGCTGCCCCGGCGGCGTCGGGGCGATGCCTCACTCGATTCGTGCTGATGCCAGGCTTGCGGACACTTGCGACCCCTCATCCATCTCCGACCGCCTGCATTGCAGATCAAGCCTGCTTAGGGCTCCCGTGCCCCCTGGGCACTTATACACGGGCGTAATGCGGTCGTTGCTGGCGCTGCGCCAGCTGCAAGAGGGCGTAGTCCGCGCCCAGCGCGCCGCCCTCCCTGCCGCTCAGCCACCGAG